CACAGCGGATTCGAGCAGCAGAATTTCAAAATCCTCTTCTTCCATATCATGTTTAGTTTCTTCCGTCATTGTCGTAGCTTCCTATCTCCACAGCGCTTGTTAGCTTAGCTTCCAAACAAGATGGCTGATATTGCTTTCTGTATCTGCAAGTGAAGTCCCACCCACTGATCTGTAATAGGTCTGTAGCGTGAGTGGGTCCCACACCCTGAATAAATGATGAGCTCGTGTTTGTAGTCTCTACACTTTTCAATGAAATGTGATAGGGGTGTCACGATTCTCCAAATCCTCGATTCGATTTCATTTTCGATTCTAAGGTCACGGTTCGATTCGATTCTCGATTTTTACATTAACTTTTTTTTAAAGCCGAAACCGGCCAATCAGAATGCTCTCTGTCTTACATGCGCTTCATGAGACACACACGCAAGGTCTCTCGCTCTCTCCCTCTCTCCCGCGCGCGCGCTATACGGTTTGGACTGGAGCACAGTTTTTTCTGTCTTGCATGCGCGCTCTTGCTCGCTCACTCTAGATTCCGGGAGATTCTAACTAATTTGCGAGCATCAGGGAGCCGCTATCAATATGCGGGAGACTCCCGGAACTTCCGCGACACTTTGGATGTCTACAAACTGTGGCTTTTTTGAAGCGCGAACGTTGTCAACATTACTCACTGGAAATCCCAAAAAACTTCCACACCTGCGACTTCAATGAAAGAGGAGGGGTTCACGTTCTGTTGATGGGTCTCCTGCATCTGTAGTTGCCATACTATCTTTTGAATGGCTGTAGCTAAGTTAGAGGAGGTTGACCATAGACTTGCAGCACTTCAACACGCCGTGTTTTTTCCGCTTGGCAAGCCGAACGGACGTGACATGGGGGCGTGGCAGTATCGACGATTGTGAATTAATTTCGATCAATTTCGATTTTAAATAAATTTCGATCGATTTCGATTTAAAATCGAAATCGTGACACCCTTAAAATGTGACTTCCTGCTTATTATGACGCAAAATGGCGATTTTTTTTTACGTCATAATAAGCAGGAAGTAAAACACTTAAATCCTTATTTCTCCCATCTCAGGGAAAAATAAAGGAAAAATCCACAATCATTATAATATATGACTGGGTTTCTAACAATACAAAGCTTAATGGAAATGGGTGAAGTGTCCCTTTAATATAGCCTAAATCCCCAATAGGGTGTGAGTTTGGTCTTTTATATTACTGTAGTAGTCCATTAAGCTACGTTAAGCGTTTTATATGGGTTAAGAGTTTAGAGATACTTTGCTTACTGTGGTTAGTGTGCCCTTTTTCCTGGGGTCCTTCATCCAAACCACCTCCTGCTCCTTGACAAGGTGGGAACTCCCTATAGGGTCGTCCCGCGTGACGTCACGCCATTTGGAGCAGCCATCTTGACGGTATAGAAAATGCAAAACCGCCGGTGATAATACAGCTCGTCGCAAAATATTCCTATCATTTTCAAATACCAAAAGCTAATCTTGTATTTTATTTAACACTTCTTTAAATCGTTAGAAACACAGGTTGAGACAACAGTCTCAATGACAGTTTATCATACTACAGGGACAGTGTCACTGCATGGTAGCCTAGTTAACGTTACAAGTATAAAAAAGTATTATTTCGTTTTTCTTGGATCAAACTAGATTCAACAAATTCATTTAAGATACACTTAATCTTGTTGGTGATTTTGTTTTGTGTTTTTCCCTGTAAACTCAGTTTAAAAATTATTACAGGTAAGTTACTATAATTTGGTGATAAAAATACATTGACCAACCTTTGCGGTGATGATTTAAAAATCCTTCCCCGCTGACGTCCAAATCAAAGAGTTGCTGACCCATCCGGACTCGTTATATCGATAGCTTTTGAATGCTTTTAATGAAGCTCCGGTGTAGCGTGATGGGAAGTGAATAAGGTAGCTGTCATTCATGAACGATCCGTTGATTGCGTCTGTCACGTGACAAATGAACGAAAGACGCGGAAGGTAAATTAATTATTTATGTTCCCTGTAAATTATTTTTGACTGCATTATAATGATTTCTTATTCAGAATATGATCAAGATTGCATAGGTGGATGTGTTCGGGGAATTTGGCGGTTAGAAGTAGAACGTTTAAAGCCACTTGACTTGAATGAACGAAATGACTCGGAAAAAAGATTCGTTCATTTTGATGAACGACTTCGAACAGGAGAGTCAGTAAAATGATCCGAATTTCCCATCACCTCAATGTCAGGAAGTTTTTCCTACACATTTAATGCCTGTAAAAAGAACTTGTGGTGCTTCATGGATCTATGATTCCTAATTCCTTTATCTTCCTCTTGTATATTTCTTTTTGTGATGCTAATAATAAGTGCGATGACATGACGTGAAGAGTTAGCTGACGGCCGCTGCTCTAATAATAGATAGTGGGGGGAAAAAATCGATTCTGTTCAGTATGGAGATATTTTGCGCACGCAAATACGTATTGCAATATTTAGGCTAATTATACTAATAATTATTTTATTAGTATAATAATATAATAATAATATATTATTACACCATATTATACACGCAATATCAATACTGTAGCGCAAAGTATTGCAATATTTAGGCTAATTATAAAATGATTATACTAATAATTATATTATTAGTATAATAATATACAAATAATTATATCATTAGTATAATAATATACTAATAATATATATTACCCACGGCTATTGCCACTGAGTAGCTGACGGGTGTATTCCGTCAAAATGGCTGACGCGCGGCTAGGGGTCACGTGACTGGGAGATCCCTATAGGTCTATGACCTTAGTCAATGCAAATTCCTATCGGAAGTTCATGTTCCACATTATGGGATATTTAGTCTTGGTCTGGGTATTTAAGAAATGCTTAAACAGGCTGTCACCTGCCCATATACGGGCAACCTAAATTTACTTCACTATATTACTATTAAATCCTAATCTAGTCATGACAAACTACATATCGTTGGAAAGGTCTAAGACTCCTTAATAGATATTTTAGTGCTGTTTTTTTTTCTTACAAATTATGTATGAACAGTAATATATGAATTTATGTCAAGAGTGCGCCTCAAAAAATCGACGTCATTACAGGTGTTTCTGACCTTTGTCACAAAAAGTTGACGCACACACTTTTAATAATTGAAACTTTGGTTTTTAATGCTAAAAGTTCATAATAAAACAAAATCTAGTATTTGTCAATAAAAAAAGATAAAATTATATTTTAAAAAGTAAAGTAAAAAGTCCTCTAAAAAGTATAATATATATTATATATATATATTTTATTATTATTATATCACATATTTTAGTAGTTATCACAAATTAGGTATCATTTGAAAGCTTACGAACTCAGAATTCATCCTATGACAACCGTTTTGAAATTGGACGTTGCGTTACCATAGAAAAGGTATTTTTTTATTAGGCCCCTCCTCTTTTGGGCATCATCTTTCATAATTTATTATCAAAAATGTTCTAATCTTGACACAACACATATTGTCAGAAAGGTCTGAGTCTCAAGGTTACATATTTAGTGACAGAAGTGATATTTGGATAGAAATTTATTAACTTGTTATGGCAGAATGCATACAATTAAATTCAATGGAATGCAATGGCACCCGGTGGGTATTTTTGGTATTACGCCTAAACAAAATTTCATGGGAACTTCAATGTTTGTGATATCAACTTCAAATTTGGAACACAACTTGGTTAGATATATGGCTTTGACTTTCTGTCATTTTTAGGCTGAAACCTATATTAATTTATATATATTTTTAATAAAAGTAATATATATATTTTATTATATTTTCATAACAATAAACTTAAACTTCAATAACTTTTAAATAATTTAATTCTATTAATTTATTCCACTTCAGCAATAATCTGCCAAGAGTCTTCTTTTAAAAGAGACCAACCATAAGTCTTTAGTACAAAGGCTTCATGAATTACAGCCGTTTGGGTAGTGCATTTTCACGTCAACGCTCAAAAAGGGGGGTGATAGCTAAAGGGTTAATGCGATTTGTAGCCTGATCCGCCCATAATGCTGAGTATCACCATTGTGTATCATTCAATGTTATAAGTTGTATTAATTTTCTTTTGTATTTATTATGTAATTGTCAACATACTTTTACTGACTAATAATACATTTTTACGTTTTAATTTATTCTGAGTTACTCTGAAACGCTCTGGTTAGTAACACACTAAAATACAGCTTAGGTGGACCAGAGAGGCACGCCAACTGAAGTTTTAAAGATCCGACTAACATCGGCATTAGTCATGTATTCTTAGACTGTAGAGGCTAATAATGGGTTTTCCGTTTAGAAGAACAGAGTGTTGTTAGACCAAAATCTAAATAGGGTGAGCCTCAACCTCTGATTATTGTATAGTATTATTCTAACTTAGTGTACGTGGAAAACCATGGCATGATTATACAAAGTTACCATTAGAATCTTTTGAAAAGGGGTATAATAGGTCCCCTTTAACACTTTGCTGGTGGTACCCATATAAACATCAAACTGTTAATTTACAACGCATTCTCATCCCAAGGCGTCATAAACTGACACTTTTGACATTTCGTCTAAATCCAACGCACATGGCACCCTTTAGCGTCAATATAATTATGGGTAGGTTTAGGTCTGGGGTAGGGTTAGGGTTAGACCACTAGGAGGCGCCTTCTGGCCCATATATATCTGTGTCTCATATTGACGCTAAAGGGTGCCATGTGCGTTGGATTTAGACGTAATGTCAAAAGCGTCAGTTTATGACGCCTTGGGATGAGAACGGGCTCTAATTTAACACCAGGGATTTTGCTGTGTTCATTCTCTGAATCACATGTAAGCACTTTTGAGGAAATTACCTTAGATCAAATGTGATGGTTTCTACTCAACATGCTATAAATGAGGCCCATGGTCTTGACTACATCTCTGTTCTGTACAGAAACACTGATATACAGCCAACACTTAGAACAATTGTGTTTTATACTACTTAATACGAGGTAAGTTTATTTTAGTTTTTGTTTCACAGTGTCTGATATGAGGATTCTCCTGCTGGGTAAAAGTGGATCAGGAAAGAGTTCAACAGGAAACACCATCCTGGGCAGAAATGTGTTTAAAGTGTGTTTCTCTTCTGAATCCACAACTCAACAGTGTGAGAAACATGAGGGAAAAGTGGACGGTAGAAACATCACAGTGATTGACACACCTGGACTGTTTCACACATCCATCCCAAGTGAAGAAGATCTGAAGGTTGAGATTGAGAGGAGTCTGCAGATGTCTGATCCTGGTCCTCATGTGATTCTGCTGGTCATCAAACTCGACAGATTTACAGAGGAAGAGCAGAACACAGTGAAATGGATTCGGAAAAACTTTGGAGAAGATGTTATGAGATTCACCATCCCGCTGTTCACTCGAGTTGATAAATTGGAAAAATCCCTAGATGAATTTCTGCAAGAGAGCATCAAGATAAAGGAACTCCTAGATGAATGGAAGGTGACATATCATGCCTTTAATAATGCAGAGAAGACCGATCGACAGGTCACTGATCTGCTGGAGAAAATAAAGGATCTGATGAATAAAAATAAAGGAATGGATGAATACTACACTGCGGAAATGTATCAGAAGGCTCAGAGTAAGATCAGAAAAGAAGAGGAAGAGAAAAAGAACCAAGAGAAAGAAAAAGAAGATGGAGTTGTTAAAAGAACAATTAAACAATTCGTAAAAGCACATTTTAAACCACTATCAATAGTAGTTGTAATAACATTAGCTTTTAAACTATACAAGATCTGGTCTGAGAGGAAATGATTCATAAATCAGTATGAATCACAGGTCCTGATCTGCATGAAAAAAATTGCATGATTACCCATATTTTGGGATTTGTATACGTTTAATTTTAACCATTCATAAATTAAATCATAACATGATGAGTCAACATAAAGAGCTACTTTTCGTAAATGTGATAACATGGGAATGTAAGCTGGAATCGCCTTGTAACAATTATACATTAAAATAAACAATAAAATGTATAAATTAATACAATTTGACCAGCTGATGTTTTTTTCTTCCTTTTCCTATAGGCTATTAAATAAATGTAATGTGATCTATTGAATCTACTTTAATACCGAACTAAAAGGATTCAAAAGGCAGGATTTGACACACACACACACACACACACACACACATTTATATAATATTGAGGGTCCTAATAGTTGTTTAGAAGGCTGTGCTGTTATACTGTAGAAGTGTTTTATTTGTAGAATTTGTTAATGTGTGTAATTGCAAACTATAATTGTGTCTCGCAGATTTACCTGACGCCTTAAAACTACTGCACAGATGGGTGAGTATGATCTGTATGTTTGCTCTGGTATTATGTGAAATGTTGTTAAAAGACTTGCCAAATCAAAGTGATGGCACAATGGCCTGTGCAAGCTCGAGACAAGAACTGTTTAAGTCCTGGGTTGGACTTTCCTATGAGATAAAGGCAGATTGGTTTAACACAATATATATATATATATATATATATATATATATATATGAAACATATCAGTATAAAATAACTTATTGTTAAGTAATTACTGCCTTATGTATGTATTTATTTGTCTTAAAGAACAAGGCACTACATATTTATTGTACTTTACATACTTAAAGATGCTTTCTGATCATCTATTATCTTTGGATAATCTAAGTGTTAGGTTTTTAAAAATGTTTCTGAGTTAATTCAGTATTATTTATTACTAAAAATATCTTGCATAAGAAAAAAAGCGTATGTATTTTGTCTTATTTTAGAGCAAATAGATCATCTCCGGATCGTTCTGCTGGGTAAAACTGGAGCCGGGAAGAGCGCAACAGGAAACACCATCCTGGGACGAGAGGCTTTTGAGGAGAAATGTTCTTCAGAGTCTGTCACTAAGAAATGTAGTGCACATAGAGCGATAGTAGATGGCCAGATAATCACTGTGATTGACACGCCGGGACTCTATGACACATCAATGAACCAAGCACAGCCTAAAGATGAAATAGAAGATTTGTTCAAACATTCTGGTGATGGTGTTCATGCATTTCTGCTGGTGATCAACCTGTGCACTAGATTTACAGAGGAGGAAAGTAATACTGTGCAGTGGATCAAGGATAACTACGGTAAAGAGGCTTTAAAAAACACCATTTTGTTGTTTACAAATGGAAAACAATTAGACTCCAATGAAACAACAATTGAAGAATATGCAGGGGAAAAACTGAAGAGGTTAGTTGAGCAGTGTAATAAAAGATATCAGGTTTTTGAAAACACAACTAATGATCGTTCCCAGGTCACTGAGCTTGTGGAAAAGATAAAGAAAATGATACAGGACAATAACCTTTACACTAAAAAGAAATATGAGGAAACTCAAAGAAAATTGTTCTATGCAAATGTTGCAGGAGTTGTAACTGGAGGAGCATTAGGATCAGGAGCAGGAGGGGGAGCAGCTTATTTAGCAGCTGCTAAAGCTACAACAATTGCAGCTTCAGCGCTGGGGGGGGGTGTAGGTGTAGCTGTAGCAGCTGGAGTTTGTGGAGTTGGAGCAGCGACATACAAGTATTTTAAAAGTGAATCATCAACTGAAAATAAGGACAAAGAAGCTTGAAATTAGATCATGTATTTTCAAAATGTGGACTAATCTTTCCGGGATGCCTCTGGCCTAGAAAACAGGGATATGCTCCAGCCCTATGACTTAGAAGGTTGTATAAGGAATACGAAAGAAAACGTGGCATGCCTTTGAGTATGCACATTACATAACCATGGGAATTAATAGAAATTTTAAAACATATATTTTATTTTAAATGGCATGTTTAATCCTAAAACAGGCAAAAGTGGAAAATGATCATCAAAAAATAATTTATTCTCACTATATCACACAATATCATCTGGACTTAAGGGAAACATATTCAAAGGATTTTTGGCAATTCGGTCACTGTAAAAAAATGATTCATGGGTCTTGTAATTTTCATAAAATAAAATGAAGGTGATAATTAAAAATATTGTGTGTATTTTATTAAGAAAATTGTGGTTCCGTGTTGCATAAAATTTTTTGGAAAATGTATCTCTTGGTTTTATAAGTGAAATGTTTTCCATATTTTCTAAGGAAACACATAATTTTGAGGCTTGAATTGAGGGACTGATAAAATTAAGGAAAAAGGGTTACCAATTTATTTTAAGAGAATTAGCTCAATTATGCGGTTATAGAGACACCATTATTAGTTCCCAGCATGCTTTGCACATGGCTGGTAATGGAGAGGAAATATTGAAATTAAGTGTTATTTTATGTGTTTTTGAGTAAAGAGAAATATCTGTTAATGTTCAGTTCTGTTTGACATTTGAAAGAGACTCTATTATGTTGAAGTTTTGATCGTTACCATTGCGCAGAAGAGTAGGGCTTATAGTAAGGTTGTGAATAACTGAATGTGTTGACAATCTGAAACATGTTGCTTTGTTTGAGCAAAAACTTTGTAATAATGCCAATGCAGTAACAAGTTTGGTTATGTGCTGTGCTAGCAGCATACAGTCTTTAAATAATGCGATAGAACTCAAAGTCAAATATAAAAAGGTTATTTCTATTCACTCAATTTCACACACTTTTGAGCGTCAACTTAAAATAAAAAAGCATAATTCACTAAAAATATTACACTCATTGTATCATAGACTAAATAATTAAGGGGATTTTACATGCTTTATTCAGGTAGATTCCATGAAAGAAATCAATCTTAACTACTCAAAAATATTATGTGTACCATAGTTTTTTTAATTGAATAGCAGTAACATTTTTTACAGTGTGGACTCTTTATTTCTGGACTGAAGTTGAGTCTTCAGGTCGGGGAGGAGAGAAGGATATGACCCGCAGGTCCAGGGAAACGTTTGGGATATTCTTTTTAGATGCATTATTTCCTAAAGGACTTAATCAGGAAATTGGTAATGGTATGGTTTATTGATTAGTGCTATTGTTTTTTGTGTTTTTCTTTCTCTTCCTCACTCGTTATGTCAGTGACACACATTACATTTTACATTTACATTTAGTCATTTAGCAGACGCTTTTATCCAAAGCGACTTACAACTGAGGACTAAAGCAAGCGAGTCATCGTGAAGAGGCAAAAACAACGCAAGAAGTGCTCAAAATACAAAGTTCAGACATTGCTCGGAGTAGCATAAGCCAGATAAGCAAGGATTTAAGGAAAAGGAAAGAATTTTTTTTTTTTTTTTTTTTTTATTCACATGGTACACACTTAGTTTTTGTTTCTGTATAAATACACCAGGTTAGGGGCATGTGCTGTATTTTTAGTGTAGGGGAGATAAGATGTCTACCATTTCTTTTTTATTAGACAGGTTAAGTAAAAAACAAGTTAGAAAGTTTGCGTTTTTGTTTTGTTCTTTGCTTTGGTACGGTCCAGTTGCCTTAATTATTGCCTGTGTGTGTACATAGATATTTACCTTAGTAAATATTTTCTAGTAAATAATTATTTTGTTTAATCTCTTCCAACCTCTTCGTTTGTTCATCATAGCACCTACAAATAAAAAAAAGTTTCACTTGTTCTGCCATTCCCGCTTGCCGTTTATATGTCTATGTGGTGTTTTTAATATGCTTTAAGACAAAGCATGTGTAAATTCATAAGTCGACAGCATTGCAGAGTATTTTCTGCTTAAAACTGCAGTGAACCAAAGACAGTCTCAAAAACACGGTTTGAAATCGCTGGTGTTTCTGACGTCACAAACGACCTTGTAACCAATCAGATCAACGTGTGATCGTCAACCAGTAGATCTGTGAGCTGAGTGAGTGAGTGAGTGGAGGCGGGGCTCATTTGCATATTCATAGAACCACGTATACTAAATGAGGCAAGGGTGTCAGGTTACATTCAAGATATTTTAAGTCATGAAGAAATTATGTTTCAAGGAAAAAACGCTTTAATATGTAATTTTGGTGCTCAATGATGAGTTTTAAGAGATAAACTGATACCTCCCGAAAATCAGTTTCTGCATTTTTCCTCACAACACTGATTAAATCAGCACTCCTCGCAAACACACATGCACTTTTGTTTCTGTCAAGAACCCTTGTTCTTCACCCTTGAACCCTCATCGCCATACCAACGGTTCGTGGCCAGGTCAGATTACGCAAAAGTTTTAGTAGTTTTTTGCAGTTCAGGCATTTCAAGACCAGACATACGACGCTCAAAGTAGTTGAAAGTCAGATGAGTCAGATGAAAGCTATTGCAGATCGATGCCAATAGACACCGGTGTACGTGTAACAAACTGATCCAACAAAACCTGGTGTACGTGATGCCGTTGTCAGTGTCTGTTGGTGCGGTGTGAAGTGGCCTTTATAAAGTACACACTATTGGGTGGAAGTCCTGCAGACTCAGAAAATAAACTTCAGCTGGTTCAAAATTCAGCTTACGAGAACAATATCTGAATATCATATCCATAGACCATCATTACTTATGTGTACATTATATTGTGCAATAATTTCAAAACCCACAAAAAAAGGCAGATCCTTTTCCTATTTGGCTCATTTGTCATCGGAAGACCAATGTAATAAATTAATAGAGAGAAATCAGAGCTCAATGTTTCTTAGAGAAAGAAATATTGGAAATTGTGAGAAAATGTAAGAACAAAAAGTCTACAGATTACAATGACTATAGTGAGAAAAGTCATTGAGGAGATTTTAAAACCATTAACATATATATGTAATTTATCATTTCAAACAGGTTTATTTCCAAAACAAAATGAAAACAGCTAAAGTAATACCTATACATAAAAATGGGAGCAAACACCACAAACTACAGACCTGTCTCCTTACTTCCACAATTCTCCTAAATTCTTGAAAAAGTCTTTAACAACAGATTAGATACATTCTTGGATAAACATCGATTACTCACTGAAAGTCAATATGGATTCAGATTCAACAGATCTACATCGATGACAATAATAGTCAATTGAGGAAATCACAATTGCCATAGATCATAAAAATTATGTAATGGGGGTATTTGTTGATCTTAAAAAAAGCTTTTGACACAATCGACCATGACATACTTACAAATAAACTGGAAAGGTATAGTATCAGGGGGGTAGTATTAGACTGGGTGAGGAGTTATCTAAGTAAGAGACAGCAGTTTGTGAAGTTAGGAAGATCCAGGTCAGTGTGTTTGGACATTGTTTGTGGAGTCCCCCAGGGGTCAGTGTTGGGACCAAAACTGTTTATTTTGTATATTAATGACATTTGTTCAGTATCTAGGTTGTTGAAGATGGTTTTATTTGCAGATGATACAAATATATTCTGTTCAGGTGAAAACTTACAGAAACTAATGAAGGATGCCACTAAAGAAATGAACAAATTAAAAATATATTTGATAGAAATAAATTATCATTACAACTAAAATAATGTTATTTGGGAATTGTAATATGACTATTCAGGTGAACATACAAATATATGGGGTTATAATTGATAGAGTTCATGAAAATACATTTCTTGGGGTAATTATAGATGACAGAATCAGTTGGAAATCACACATTAATTATGTACAATTCAAACTATCAAGATCAATTCCAGTATGAAACAAAGCAAAGCAGGTTCTGGATCAAAAATCTCGCCACTAGTTGTACTGTTCACTAGTGTTACCATATTTTATTTACTGTGCTGAGATTTGGGGACACAACAACAAAGTTTGATTACATTCACTATCTGTGCTCCAAAAAAGAGCAATACGATTAATACACAACTCTGGGTATAGGGATCACACTCACTCATTATTCCTTCAGTCAAAATTCTCAGATTTTGTGAAGTATCAATCAGCCCAAATAATGTTTAAAGCCAAAAATAATCTATTGCCGAGAAATATTCAAATATTATTCAGGAAGAGAGAGGGAGGTTATAAGTTAAAGGGGAAACACAACTCCAAAAACAAACAGGATAATGGACAACTAGGAAAAGTTTTAGCATTTCAAGCTCTGGAGTAAAGCTGTGGAACAGTCTCAATGAGGAACTAAAGCAATGTCCAAACATAAATCCATTTAAAATCAGGTATAAAGATATGGTTTTCAAGGGATACAGGGATCAAGTAGGGGTGAATAATCACAGAGTGTTTTGAGGGTTAGTAATTATCTTCAGTTTCATATTATTTCTGTACTTTGAATTTTATAATTTATTCTTTCCTATTATTTATTTTTTCCTTGTTTAAATAATTGGTGGACATTTTAAATTGGTTTAGGGGTAAAACAAAGTAGATAAATATTTGGAACGAGGGTCGATTATGTGTAAGCTTTTGATTTGTGGATAGAGGGTGGGATTAAATGTGTTTTTTCTTCTTCTTCCCACTCCTTTTCGTATTTGTAATGGACATTGACAATAGTTTTAAAAAAGTCCTATTGTTAATTCATTTTTTTGTGTTATTCTTATCATTTTGATTTGTCTACTTGATTTTTATTTTCTTGTCGGATTTTCTTTTTTTTATACATAAATTTGAAATAAACTTACTAATGAATAGTATTGTCCAGGAGTCAGACACACTCTCACTCGCTCTAAGTCAAGATTAAAGATTATATTTTTTAGTTAAGCATACAAATAATTAATTCATACCTCACAGCTCATGGCTTTAAAATAACGCATTTCTGTAAAGCTGCTTTCAAACAAATCTATATTGTGAAGTGATATACAAGTAAAATTGACTTTACTTGAGGTAAATTTTAAATTAAGACAAAATGACCGGACACTTGCATGTTCTTTGTTTATTTTATTCAATTATTATTATTGTTTAACACGTTGTACTGTCAGATCTTAACGGCAATACCAATCTAACCATCATTCCTAACTAATACAATAAACTGAAAATGTTTCTTAAAGATGATGTTTAATAAAAACTCTTACGAGCATCCACAGTAAGCAATATACTTTTTAATTCACATAAACGCATACAAATAAGATCATACTGATACATACAGCGTTACATACCACCAAGAAAAGGTGGAAAAAAACTACAGTGCAATTGATACCTTTACAGTGTCTATCACTTTACAGTCATTCTGGACAAATGACTTTAATTCCCATTTACGCATGCCATTGATAAAGGTGTTTGAACAGATTTAGTTTAAATGTGAACTGAAGTATACAGTAGTGGACTATAGCTCATCAACAGCTGGCGTTCATTAAGACACTGACAGACATGAGCTGCTTAATTTGCACAGTATGTGGAAAGGATAAAGCAACTAAATCTTATCCCACAAAATAAAAAAAATCTCATAAACAATGGTGATTATTCTAGATTTTTTCTAGATTAGTAAAAAAACAAACAACTATCTGACAAACAAAATCCTCACAAACAAAACCGTCACAAACATTACGATGTAATTTGTGCGGGAGTTCATCAACGGATGCTCATTACAGCCTTTAGGGTGAAGTATTTACATTTATTCATATAACAGATGCTTTTATCCAAAGTAACGAAAATGACAAATAAACAAAAACACAAGCAACAAACTTCATAAAAAACTGTATATTAGCAGTGCTGCGATATAAAATGTGTACACCTCCAGAACAGCACAAAGTTAGCGAAGAAATATAAATGCAACAAAAATATTTGTTTCTTAGTTTGTTTTACTGATAAGAAGAAGCGTTTATTTATGGTTGTGAATTAATGCTCATAGAAGAGTTGTGTAAGGGTCTCAGAAGGTCTGTTGAAGGCTGAAGACTCATTTCACCACAGTGGGAAAGAGTATGGCCCTGTTTACACTCGCTATTACGATGCGTTTTGGTGGATCGGATCACAAGTAGACGAGAGACACATTCCAGTTCACACCTGGTGTTTAAATCCGTCTCTTTTGTCCACTTTCACACACTTCTGTCCTGATTTCTTCGAGGGGAGGGTCTATGGCCGGGTGAATGTGTGGGTTTCTTCAGATCTCTCAATCTAACAGACAAAGTAAGCTCATGCAATTTACATATGAACACACCCGGAGACGACAGTAACACACACGGAGAGCTTCAGATTTAGTTTCTGCTCTGACAGACACAAGATCAGCCGAACGCTGTGAGTGTGTGTTAGAGATCAGGAATGATGAGGAACATTGTGTTTCATACGTTTTTCATCTTCAAACCAAACTTGTGTCTCCAGCCGACAGATAAACCCCGTCTGGCTATCGCTCTTCTCATAATGTCACGCATTAGATCAGTAGACGGAGAGAAGACGCTCTTTAGTGGCTGTTTGAACACATTCATCACATGAGCGTTTACACTACGAAAGCAATCCGGTCGAATGTGTTTTCAACTTCATCTGGACAGTGGACGAGCTTAAAGCCTCTTAAACCCCGTTTACAGCTGTGTTTAGTGTCTCCACTAGTGATCCGATCGACCGAAACACATCTTAACACCGGCTGTAAACAGGACACAAATGTTCTAGTACAGTAAGTGATTTTGTATCTGGTTGTGGAGGTAAAATCATACACCATTCGCTCTCTGGCGCTGAGGGTCCACAGGACGGTGCTGATCCAGATGCACTCCAGAATATTGAGTCTTGAATTTGAAAAGGAAAGCTACATGTAGGAGAGAGATACCATCGCAGAGTCTTAATTGTATATTATATGTAGTAAATCTACGTTTACTACATCAGCCAAGAGATATCTTGTTGAAACCACTATTTTACCGTTATTTGACTGTGGTGTGTTTATGTGCATACCTATATAAGGTATGCACATAAATGTATTTTAGAACAATTAGACGTGTTATATCACACAGCTATTAGACTGATCGCTAATGCACCTTACAGAACGCATCACTGTGAACTGAATTACCTTTTAAATTGGACATCATTACATATTAGATGGGAAATACACTGGTGTATTTTTAGTTATAAAGTCCTGTTTGGTCTATTACCCAAATACCAGCAAGAGTTGCTGCAACCACATGTTAGTACACATTCGACCTGGTCATCTAATCATATTCTTTTGATTATCCCTATAAAGAAAACTCAGCTTTTGGATTTGCTGCTCCAAATGATTGGAATGTGCTACAAAAGTCATTTTTTTCAATCTCTGCATTTAAAAAACTATTAGGGAATATTTTAATCACAGCTTGTAAATGGTTTAAATGAATGTATATGTGTGTGTATTGTAATATGCTAGTAAGTCTTTCAGGAGATTTGAACTCTCCTACCTAGGCTGTTGTTTAAAATAAGAACTTGCTCTTTAGTGGCTTGCCTGGTTAATCCATCCATCAATCAATCATTATAAATCAGCAGCGAGCGGAGATGAACTTACAGATGTGGGAGGGAATTATCAATCCGACATATTACAGATCGTGAGACTCTTACAGACTCTGAGGAAACCTCATATCCAACGAGCCAATAACGTCCCTCTCTCTGGCCCCTCCTGACATCCCCGTTCTGACCGGATGGACGGCCCTTCTGACCTCACGAGACTCTGAGGACTGCATTACTTCAGTGTTAACGATCTGAACCCCTCCGGAGACACTGCCTTGAGCCTGAACAGACGCTTTAGTGATCGGCTGCTTCTCAACGAGGACTACGCTCTGGTAGTGCTGCATTTCACGATTGGCAGATCCACGCAAGGCGGCATCGGATCTCTTCTGCTCCTCTACTAGCATGTTCTCCTGAATGCCTAGGAATGGGCCGGGCGTCACCAACACAGTAGGATGGGGTTCAACCACATAAATGGGGGTGGCAGAGGAGTAGTACAACGCAGGCTGCTGGACTAACAGAGTTGGGTTAGGAACCATCACCTTCTCATGGACATACACTCCTGTAGAGGACGAGCTGCTTGTCTGATGTGCTCCTGACGTATGAATGGTGGCGGAAGAGCTAGCTTTCTCCTGAGAGTGTAGCAGACTACCCGTCCCATGTACTTTCTCCTGAGAGTGTAGCAGACTAGCCGTCCCATGTACTTTCTCCTGAGAGTGTAGCAGACTAGCCGTCCCGTGTACTTTCTCCTGAGAGTGTAGCAGACTAGCCGTCCCGTGTACGTTGCCATCTTTGTGTGTGGTGGACAGGACAGGTTTGGAGGTCACATGGGTGGTCGTGCTAATTTCAGTCTCCATTGTAGAACCACTACAGATCTCAGCCAGGGTTTTGAACCTTATGTTAAGGTTATCAAGAAAAGCAAGGTCATCGTCTTCTTCATGCAAGAGACTGCAGATGTCCTCCAATGAGCCCATGCAAGATTCCTGACCCTCGTAGTCATAGACCTTCAGACATTCTCCCATTTCTTGCTGCTTAGACACATAGCCTGTTTTCTGTAATAACACACAAATAATGTTGCATTTCCTGACCCATTCATTTACCAAGTTCTGTCATGAAACTCTAGACAGGCTGATAGGTCCTCAACTCAATTTGGTAGCGATCACATCATTATCTACGTGGCGCAGCTGATTGGTTGCTGTTGTAATGAGTTGCAGCTCAACATTCAAATACTGGTAGCAGTAAAGCTATGCTTTCAGAAACCCTCCTACTTCCCCAGCTCCACCTGTATAGATCTGCTATGGGGGTTCATTCATGTGTGTTACATGTACAGCACCAGCATGTCACAACAATGTCTGTGAATAGGGTTGGGAATCGAGGTCAGGAATCGGATACTTGTTATAAAATGTAAATTTTGATTCCTCTTATCGATTCATTTTGTGAGCATTTCAATATGATTTTAAACCATTCAACCGCGAGACGACTCGCGAGCTGTTTTAGTGCCCAGGCATGTGTAACTATACTGGGCAACTCTTAAAGTGACAGCACTAATACTCCTGCTGCCGTCTCTATAATAACACTAATAAAACATCAAAAGACAAATAGAAAATTCACTCGTTCTTGCCTGAATAACTTTTGTAACTATATTTGTAATGTATATTTCATTTATAAAGTTACAGTTGATTACAGTTTCTGTACCTGAACACCTGAAAATCTTAAAACCCTTCAATCGTATCTTTGTTCAGGTGTATCTATTTGTTGCGATTGCTAATTTTTATTTGTCCTTTTTTAATTACTGAGTGTTTACTTGTCTTTAATAATGCTTGAACTTCATATCAGTTGGGCTAGTTGTTTTTCCATGGTATTTTTAAACCACAGGCAAACAGTGTTCTTCAGCCTGTTGATTTATGTTCATGATATTCAGCTACACTTGTTTTGCTTTTTTGATATCTAAGTTTTTTTTTACCTTATTGGAATCGAAATTAGGAATCGATTAGAATCAAAATCGTAATTGTTCAAATTTAAACGATACCCAACCCTATCTGTGAATGTATTTGCAGTAGCAAGTCTCAGTAGCAAGATCTACTCCGCCACGATCAAATACATTAGCATAGCCATATCCATTACCATACCAATCTCTATTACCATACCAATCTCCCGAGAGTTGTCATGACAGAAATACACCAATCACCCAAAAATACATCGCCAAAAAACATAGTTCTAACCGTACATACTATATTAAAGAATATTTTCATTTTACAATTTTTCTAAGTTTAAAGTTCAAGTTTAAACTGTCACTCTTAAAAGCCTTGTTTTCGGGTGCTAAGGGCCCATCCTTCAATCTTTTATTATTATTATTATTATTATATCTTAATCTGTAAAGTAGCATGTTTTATTACTTTCTCAGTGGTATTGCTTCCCTTAAGAGTTTGATTTTATTGCTTGTCATGGTATAATTTCAATCTAAACTAAATGTGGTTTAAAGCAAATTGACATTGTATTACAAATGTCACAATCCCATAAATTGTGATTCAACACAATATCATAATTGAATTGGATCTGAAACTGTGCAAGAGACCACAGCATGTGTGTGGAACAGCAAAAGAGCAATGCATGGATGTCCACTAGGGGTGGAACGGTACACAGAAGTCACGGTTCGGTTCATACCTCGGTTCAGACATCACGGTTCGGTACGATTTCGGTACAATGGAGGGAAAAGCAAAACAAAAATGCAGAAGGCATTGTATTTTTTAAATAAGTTTTATAAATAAAGGCATAGAACCAGTTTATTTGTAGTGCACTGACAATAGTTTTATATAATTAGTTTATTAATTAAATTAATGAAAAGATAAAAAGACCTTGCGATATGTTTGGTAATTGTACCTGAATTAATTTAAAATTAATTTGCTATATTTTAGATCAATATATTTGTTTTCCTTAATTTTAATTAACATTATTAATTAACAATGTAACATTATTCTCATCTGAATTATAAATAATTGATTTCTGTATAAAATAATACTAGCCTACCATTAAAAACACATTCGATTTTCTTTTTTAATCAATGTAGAATGTGTAAGATTAGAGGACAAGAAATGAAAACCAATGCAATATAACGAATGTCCAAAAGATGGGACCCACAGACTGTTTTGAAATGGAGTTGGATAAATATGTTTTTCTTTTAAAACAGTGTGTGTGTGTGTGTGTGTGTGTGTGTGTGTGTGCGTGTGCGTGTGCGTGTGTGTGTGTGTGTGTGTGATTTTGGTTGAGTGACAGTTGTAGGTTACAGTTTGACAAGAGTTTACAGTGTGCACAATGTTGTGTTTTATTGCGAGTGTACACAAATATAAGTAAACACTTTGCAGGTTTAATGATCTGTATGAACAAAATTACGGAATATGTTTTTTTTATGTTTCCACTGTTCGGTCGCGCGCGCCTCTCTCTCTCTCTCTCTCTCTCTCTCTCTCTCTCTCTCTCTCTCTCTCTCTCTCTCTCTCACACACACACACACACAGTTCGATCTCGCCTCTCTCTCTCGCGCACACACACACACTCCAGCATTGCAATCTTGACATCGCAGCCTTCATTATGCGGTCACACCAAACACGAATAGAGCGTCAAATTCGCGTTAGTCCAAAGCGAATAGGACGCGCGTATAAAGCCAACGTTTGAAGTGAACGCGCGTTCAGAGCTAAGCCGATGGTACAGATTATGTGTCCCTAAAGAACCCGCGTATCTAACGGTAGTTCCGCATTACATTAATTAATTTGCACGCGAGTTTTATTTATTTTTATACCGTGTATTCTCCGTGTAAATTCGTGCACCGAACCGTGACGCCCGTACCGTTTCGGTTCGATACGAATACATGTACCGTTCCACCCCTAATGTCCACGAGAGGACTTTTTTGAATTTCGGTAGTATTTCTTACCGGAAAACTACTATTAGATAGACCTATCTGAAAAACTTAAAGCACATATTCATTGGTGTTTTATTGGTCATGACCCCTTTAAACTCAATGCGGCATTGATATTTAATTTCTTAAGCTGTGTAAAACTGTGTAAAACTCATACTTACTTGAGAGTAGTAGTTGCCTAAGAAAGCGTCAGACAGTGCAAGTCCATCATAGTTGTCAAATCTGCTATGTTCGTCTTTCCTTTTTGTATACATGTAGTCCCCATTAGTCTGACTCTTGTGGTGATGATATGCCCCATCACGCTGGTCATATTGGTAGAAAGAGGACCAATGTGAGCCGTCAGCTCTCACTCCACCATGTTTTCCAACAGTTCCCTCACTCCCCTTACGAGCTCCTCCTAAAGCGTCCACATTAATGATGTCATCATGCTCTTTTGACATCTGCAAGAGAGCCATTTTCTGTAGGGCAGAGCACAACATATTTTTATGCCTCTGTTAACAGTGCCTGATACAATATTCACATATGAGCAACACGCAGGGTCTTAAAATAACACTTGCTTAGTGCCGAATCATCTTTGGCAAGTAAATGATATTACCAAATCACTTTAACTTGATAAGAATGATAGTTTGACCCTTGCAGATGTAAGCGAAGTGCATGATTTAAATAAAAGACAAAAAGAAAACTTTCTACTAAAGAAAACATTAAAACTTTAGGCCATCCGAAACTAAAACATACAACCAGAAGTGTGCTCTAAATTTAATCTAGGACGTCTGAAGTTTTTCCCTTCCTTACATGTGGAATATCCCTTTCATAAAGCCACAAATGGGACAAAATCTCCACATCTCCAGATCATCTGTGGAGGAACATTGTGCTTCTTGAGCCTCTTTAGATTTAGATCCCCAAAAGAAACCGCGTTTTGTTAAAAAGACAATTGGGACAATTGTATGAGATGAACCTCAACAGACTGCAGCAGTAAAATACAATCTATTGCATATTTTTGTCAGGGCAAGTGCTATTCAGATTAATAAATAACTCAATAAATAATAGGCATGTGTAATTATTAGGTTTAACAATTTGTGACAGTGAAGAGTAAACATTTCTGCAGCAGCGCTCTTTACTAATGTAACACAAAACCATATAATAATTAATATCTTTCATCCAAAGCCCTTGTTATATTTACAACTATCTCAGAACCAATAAAATTTTTGGTTGGGTAAACGTAAATAGTGGAGAATAGGAGTATAGTGGTAATGTAGTGGTGAACTACAGCAAATATGACTTTGCATTTTTCTCATTCCCATTTTTCTCCAATTTCTATTAGATATTTTAATGCCAATAACACAAATCATAGCGTTATAAATATAAAATGTAAAAATTTCTAAAAATGTGTGTGCCACCATCAGTTGTGCGCTCTGTTCTTTTAGGCATTGATTTGCCGCCATACTAAAAATTGATTGGCTGTTGGCAGCCATTTCTATTGTCTGATTGGATATGACTGGCGATTGATTAGGGTTGCCCTCCCCGATTACGTAACCCCAAAGTTTGGGACGATTCTAACGACCCAGGGCAGCATTTCTAAAAAGCATCATAAGCTTAAGTAGATCGTTGAGCGATTGCCACCAATGGTCTCTACGATAAACTTAGCGTACGATGGTATTAAGAAACGCAGCCCTGGTCAGTAGCCTAGGGAAGTGATTTCAGTCGAGCGGGAACCCCACACCATTCCTCCCACAGCTAATTGGAGTTAATACAGTAGATGAGATGGAAAGTGGTTGTATTTTTGAGCCCAAGACAAATTTCCCCTTGGGACAATAAAGTATACCATAACCTTAACCCTTAAGCGTGGGTTGCACAGGTGCCCACAAAGCTGGAAAAGGCTACAAAAGCATTTCTAAAGACCTGGATGTTCATCCATGATAAGATATTATTATATCAATTCTGGACTGTTGCTAGTCTCCCTGGGAAAGGACATCCTGAAAGAAGTTAGACAGAACCCAAGCCCTCCAGAAGATAAGACATGACATATAATATCTGAGTCTGAACTGCCACTATCAGTCTCTGTTTCTATGTTTGCTGATTCATATACAGTCAAACCAAAAATTATTCAGACACCAGATATCATTTTTGATTTTTTTTTTACTAGTTTGTTCATTTATGTAAGTGAGGAGGGCAAAATAAAGTAAGCTGTGACATAAAACCCAAAAATTCTTCATTCAGTGACTACCAGTAAAATGTATACAAATTTGGGACCAAACATTATTCCTCCACTTTGAGCTGACCATGTTTTGCTCAAGTGTGTTTTCTGTAATTGCTAATGCTCTTTTTACACACAGACTGAACAACATGAAGCATTGCTTGGTCACTGGTTGAGCTAAACTGGTATTATCTAATTGTGTAGTTAAATTTACCAGCTCACAGATATTCAACATAATTCATGTGTGAGAGTCTAACAGAAGGACGGACAAAACCAGTGAAATATCCACTGAGTTCTGCTCATGTTTGATCACCATTTTCTAAACTACAGCGAATAAACTGTGATAATGAGAGAAATGTTGAAGGTGTCTGATAAATGTTGGTTTGACTGTACATGAGGAGCTCTACTGACACTGGAGAAACAGAAACCAAGCAACCGGGAAAAAAGTAGTGTTGGTCATCACATGTCATTGGGACAAAAACTCTCATTAACATAACAGAAATGCCTTTTATCACATGTCTCTACTGCACCACGCCAGCTTAGGGCATGTGTAAGAGTGAAATCTGCCCTGTACTGTGGTGTCACATACCTTGTCCTCTCCCTGTCCTTCAGTGTTGTATGCTATAAGATGCTCTTTAGCATCAAATGCGATGGTCTTGAAATCTGCTGCAGCTGCTGCACCTCCACAAAGACAGAACAGCAGCAGAAGAGGAGCCACTGCGAACACAGACCACGCCGTGTTCATTCAGCTGTGATCATCTTTACACATATCCACAACCACACATGGTTCTTATGTAGCACTTACATTTTCCTGATATGTATGTACAGGTATACTGCGATTTCAAAATCCAGGATGTGTACATATAGGACCAGATGTAATTAGTATTTTGTTATTTTAAGTGCTTATTACTTGATTAGTTTTGGATAGAGTGGCCTTTAGTTTGACAGAGATGTAGGGCTAAAAAAAATAGGTAACACTTTATTTCGATGGTCCATTCTAATAATTATAAGTAACTTTGCAACTACATGTCAACTTATTCTCCTAACCCTAACCTTTACCTAATCGTCTACTAGTACTCTAATGACTGCTAGTTGACATGTAGTTGCAAATTCACTTATAGTTAGTAGAATGTGTAGAGTGGACCATCGAAATAAAGTGTAACGAAGAAATGTCATAATTGATAATAAAATAATTGATAAAGACAGACGGCTGATTGAAAGCCACTCATTTGCTGCTGCTCACTCTCACTCGTATCCAAGGTAAATCATCACCACTGTCTCCCTATTCATGTAGAACTAATGATACTTTTTATCTCACAATTGGAGTTTACATCTCGCAATTCTGACTTTTTATCATAGAATTGAATTATCTTAGAATTTTATCCACAAAATAAAACATTTTAAAAGATAATTGCGAGTTTATCCCACAATTGCTGACTTTATTTTTCAAAATTGCAAGATATAAAGTCGCAATTGCGAGATATAAAGTCAGAATTGCGAGATTTAAAGTCAGAATTGCGATATATAAAGTCAGAATTGCGAGATATAAAGTCAGAATTGCGATATATAAAGTCAGAATTGCGAGATATAAAGTCAGAATTGCGAGATATAAAGTCAGAATTGCGAGATATAAAGTCAGAATTGCGATATATAAAGTCAGAATTGCGATATATAAAGTCAGAATTGCGATATATAAAGTCAGAATTGCGAGATATAAAGTCAGAATTGCGAGATATAAAGTCAGAATTGCGAGATATAAAGTCACAAGCGTGTTATAAAGTCAGAATTGCGAGATATAAACTCTCAATTGCGAGATATAAACTCGCGAATTTCGAGTTTATATCATGCAATTCTGACTTTATAACACGCTTGTGACTTTATATATCGTAATTCTGACTTTATAACACGCTTGTGACTTTATATATCACAATTCTGACTTTATATATCGCAATTCTGACTTTATATCTCGCAATTGCGACTTTATAACACGCTTGTGAGTTTGTCTCGCAATTCTGACTTTATATCTTGCAATTCTGAAAAATAAAGTCAGCAATTGTGGGATAAACTCGCAATTATCTTTTTAAAATGTTTTATTTTGTGGATAAAATTCTAATATAATTCAATTCTAAGATAAAAAAGTCACAATTGCGAGATGTAAATTCCAATTGTAAGATAAAAAGTCGCAATTACCTTTTTTATTTTTTATTCTGTGACGGAAACAAGCTTCCATACTAAACTGTCTGTGTGAAAGCAGTAAAAAAAAATATTTCTAGAAAAAAATACATTTTACTTTTAAATCACGACACAAGCATTTCTATGTTTCTTACAGCAAGAGAGAGGTTAACATTGCTACTCACACAGAAGGAGCAGCAGTCCCAGCAACATTAGAAAAACCCCAGATATCCCAAATCTAGAGACTGTTTTTCCTGGCAGGCAAACTTTCGACGCGTCACATGTGCAGACGTCTATGCGCAGCATCTGAGCAGCACAGATCTTCCCCTGCTGGTCCCTCACGTCCACAAACACATGGTACACACCGGGCCAAAGTGTGGTTTGAGATCTGAATATCGCTGTAGTGTCTGAAAACAAGAAGACATTAAAAGATTCATACATGACCAGTTTGGAGGCAAAAATTCAGTACTAAAATTAGTTTCTAACATTTTTACATTTACTTTACTGTCTCAGGGTATGTTTACGCGACACCATTTTCAACTGAAAACAGATTTTTTGGGCCGTTCATTACACATTTCATTTACATTTTGGGGGCCTGAAAACACAAGCTTTTTGAAAACGGGTTTCAAAGTGACGTCATGCTACATGTTCACGCTGCACGCATGTGTATTACGTGTTCGCGGGGTGTTTCTTGACATCGCCAACTACTGGCCTGGCATGCATAATACAGCCTTTTAGGTCATTTTGGCAGATCTGTGTGAACGGGGATCGTTTAGGCAACGTTATTGTCTGTTTTTAGTTGTCATGTAAACATACTCTTAAGCCCTATTCTGATAGGATGTGGGATAATGTGATAATTACCAGAGCTTCTCCAGGATCCCAGAAAGCAACACAGTGTCGGCTGAAACTATGTTGCTGTCTGGGATTCGAATACTGTCCAAAATCAGACTGTTTCTGAACAGTGCATTCTTGTGCTTGTGGAGAAATGTCCTTGAAAAGGCCCCCAGGCTGCTGATGCACTCGACTGCATCCAGTTATTTATTCACCAGTGAAACGTGTTCATTGTGCTTATCTTTTGTTGTGTGGACTTTCAGTTTGTAGTCTGTTCTGTTTCTAATGTTTCTCCACATCAGTCCTTGTGTCCAGGTGTGTCTTAGTCTATTAGTTCTTGTGTATGTCTTGTTTATACATGCATGTTAATTCTGAATGCTCTGTTCTGTCCCCTGTGTTTCTCAGTTTCTTGGTTTTAATTACAATCAGTTACTTATTGATGGTTTCCATTTTAATGGAAAGTCTAAATGCAATGCTTACACAACACTTCTGTCATGCATCTGCATCTACAGCATTATTCCCATGAAAAGTGCTGTAAAAGAAATATGAGGCAAACCCTATTGCCCCTCATGCTGATTTCAAGTCATTTCTCAGTCTTTCGCTAGGGGGCGATTCATGATGGTAAATAATACCTCATGGCTTTGACGTTCCCAAGAATAACTGTGTATATATATATATATAAATATAATGTGGCACTGGCCGGAACAAAACTAAACAAACTGAACAAGTCCCTTCATGCACACTGTAAGTACAGTAAGCACTTAAGGAGGTGAAGCATGTTTTTCTCAGGCATTTCATTATGCTGTCATTAGGTAATACAGTTTAAGAGTCATTCAACTTTAAATTCATTTTAAAATGTTCAAATTGTTGACATTGTGTCAGCCCCATAAGAGACAAAGAAAGGATTGTATTTTCTTTTGGTTACGAAAATGAAAAAAGTACCCAGGCATGTAATGTTGTGACTGGAATAGAGTGAAGGGAGGGTGATTACAGGCTTATTTTTTGATTTATGATCATGTTTGAATATTTCCTGCATAATAAATTAGAACAGCTAAATACATTGAGATAGGTCAGAAACAAGTGATGGCATTGTGTAAATGCAGGAGGCAAACCCTTCTCAGTAGCGGTTTCCATCCAAAGTTAGGAATTACACTTTTGAGCGAAATTGGAATATCACACAGAACATTTCCAACACCGTTTCCATCCTGGGACTCGAAAAGGACAAAATCTTCACTTCCTGATACACAGGTGCTAAATAGAACTAAGAAAAGTAGGAGAAGCCACTGACTGACTGTATATATATATTTTTTTATATATATATATATATATAATTAATTGTGTCTCAGAGCATGCACACGAAATGCAATACACGTGCTAAAAAAACACAAGAAACGCAATAATCTTGTAGCCTGGTTAAAACCAGACCATTCTCCGTTGTAACTGAGTCATGGTCTGGCAAAGCGTCATAGACAAATCATTTCCAGAGGGGCGTCACCAACGGACGTCGCGGATAGACCTAAACCCAATCAGAGCGATGAAGGAGATGACGTATGCGGAGAAACATCTCCGAGTGTTGTTCTTTGCTCGGTTTTTAACAAAAAGGAAACGTTCAAATTGCTTAAAACAGACGCGATAGCTGATTGGAACGAGTGATGTTCGACGGCGGCATCCATCTTTGTAATGTAGGCTACAGAATCTGCTTCAAAATCCCAGCGCTGTCGTCATCGTGTAAAGCCCGCCCCAGCGTTTCTGATTGGTGCCTCGATTTCGGCGGATTGGAAATGGCGAATGAGCTCTTTGCCAGACTAACTGTCAGAGCAAATCTAAATTTGCCGGAAGTTGTCTGGGTTTTCCCAGGCTAATAATCTTGCTTTCAGAGGCGAATGCTGCTGTTTGGGAGCGCAGTCGTGTAAGTCAGTCCTGGGACTTTGTTCAGGCATTTCAGAACAACCGCAAAACATGTTTCCATTATAGTTTATGCGCATGTTTTCTTATCCGATAAAAAATGTATCCCGACTCAAACGAGTGCATATAGTTTTTATGTTTAGAGTCTATGCGCATCTTGGCATTTCCATCCAGCAGATTTTGATGCGATTTCCCAAAATGCGCATAAAAACAGGTGGACGGAAACATAGCACTGCTTATTAAGTGTGAACGGATGATAAATATGGACGTTTATGACTGAAGAATTAAATTACAGCCTGTCTTCACATCAATCAGTCAATCGCTTCATCCATCATAGCAATCGAATAGATAGACAGTAGAAATAATGCACATGAATAATATGGACTACTTTTATGTGGTGTTTGATTTTGACAGCTACAATCACTATCGTATTATTGTTGAAACACGATTATGATTACAGTAGCTGGAGTGATCTTGGAAAGTATGGTTAATAAAGTATTTTAAAATGTACACACAAGACAATAAGTTTCAGTCCTAGTTTTCCATTACCGTTGAGATATTCGACACGCCATGACTCCTTTGTTCTTTGGGTGTCCACGTTGAAACCAAAGGGGGCTCCGTTGGGGAAATGGTCTTCGTCCACAGCCGTGACATAAACCACGTGCTCTTCATAGCACAGTGTTTGAGACTGATGGATCAGCACAGGACAGTGGTCATTAAAGTCCTTCACTTGAATGGCAATGGTTCCTGTAGCAGTTTTAGCTGGAACTTCTGTAACAGAAGTGATATATTCCTCCCATGACTTTAAATGCAATTTAAATGTTTGCAATACAACAATATGTATCGTGGATAGTTCACCCAAAGAAAAAAATGTGTCAGTACTACATTAAACTACTATATATAATGTTGAATATAATGTGTAATGGGGGGGTTCTGATGATGCCAAATGTCTGATGTTACCAGTAAAAAGTGTCCTACATTATCTTAAATATATCTCGTCCGTGAAAGAGTGCAAGCATATTCGTCTACAATAACTCTGTATTTTCAGCTTCAGAATCATGAATATTGTTACTCTGGTGTCTCTATTGTCCTGTGCTTTGGGTTTCCAGCACCAAGTCCAAGCATATTCATTAACACCCACAATGTAATACCAAATTTAGCATTTTAATCAACAGAAAAAAAAATGTGTTAACCTTGAAGTCTTGAAGTATCGCAATAATATCGTATCGTGAGTTCAGCATCGTGATATCGAATCGTGACATGAGGGAATCGTTACACCCCTATTATTTATTGCTTGCCAATGCTAACTGCCTTACATACGTATCATGAGATTGACTTACCATTGGTGATGCAGATTATGTGGGCATAATATGTGCGATTGACAAGAAACTTGGACTCATAATCTGGAATTTTATTGAGTCTTATATCAGCCGTCCTCTCATCTATAATCAGCCAGTTGTCGACGTCTTGTCCTTTTGCATACCTAAAATGAATGAAATGAGAACTTTTATTACAACATCTGAACAAAACCACAATCTTGAGTATGTTAATTTTCACACAATGTTTGCAGTCTCACCTCACGTTAGTAGCAACTAATAGTGTGTCGCTGTCGATGGCTGCGTAGTTGGTTATGACTTTATTTAAAATAATAGTGGTGCTTTCTTCAGATATGGTGATGACTTTGACTGCGGGTTTGAAGCGAGGGCCCTCGGGCTGGTTGACCACACTGACTTGGATGGTGTACGTCTTGCTCTCTGTAATGACTACTGACGAGTGATACTGTGCCTTGTTAGAGACAGAAACCTGCAGCCGGATTTCCTTCAGCTCCTCATAGTCCAGTTCCTTCAAAGCGAAACAAAGGGTGAAAAGCAGGAAATGGGGGATGCAAGAATGCAGGACGCTTCCGATCGAACTGCTTCACATTTATGCCCGTCCCATGAGGTCCACTTATAATGCTGGTAAGATTTTTACATCAAAAGTAATCAGAAATTAAAAAATAAACGGCCATTTCTACCCCGTTTTTGGACACAGTTAGTGGACAAGGGGAAACAAAGCACTGTTTGTAAAGGCAAAACAGAAAAAAGGACAGTTTGGTCAGTTTACCTTAGTGAGAATCAGGATGCCTTCATTGGTCTTGCTGTCTGTGGTTATGGAGAAATAACTGGCCTCGTTTCCAGACACGATTGTGAAGACTGCCAGCCAGTTCTCAGAATAGATCAGATCGGCATCGATCGCTTGCATTCTCATCACTTCCACATTTTTAGTGTTTTCCTCCACCCTGCACTCATACTACAAACCAATCAAAAGATTCCACATATGTTAATAATTAGGGTTAAGTCATCGTTACCTCACCCTGGTGTTGTTCTAATGCCGTTTCTTCATGCCTTAAAGCTGCTGTAGGTAACTTTTGAAAAAATGTATTTGTTAAAACTGTCATTATGTCCTGACAGTAGAATATGAGACAGATAATCTGTGTAAAAATCAAGCTCCTCTGGCTCCTCCCAGTGGTCCTATTGCCAATTGCAGAAATACACGCTCCCGGTCAGAAACAACCAATCAGAGCCAGGAGGAATGTCTTAGCAGTGTCAATCACGCTCGTGTACGCGCTGATCACACCCCTCTCTTGCACAGCGTGAGCCGTCGTTCAAACTCAAGATTGCCGGCGTGCTGCAGCTGTGCTTATGACGGAGAAACAACCTAAACTGCCAATTCTCGAGTGACACCTGCTCATAAAACAAAGAGGTAAAAGGAAAAAGAATGATGACGATAAACAAGCGAAAAAGAAAGAATTACACAGAGCCCATTGACTCGGTGTCAAAACTCTAGCCGCATAACATGTAGATTAAATGTCACGCACTCTGCTAAGCAACAATTGAAACCTGCTAATTCACTGGCTTGTCATGTTGCTGAAATAATGTACTAGCACACCTTATCTAGCATTATATATCGCTAGAATAATTACTTACATACTGTAACGTTAGTTACCATTATATTAACGTTATCTTACTAGCTATTTATAACTTATAGAAAGAGTGCAACGTTATAAAGTTACATGTAGGCTATTGCAAAATACATAATGATTTGAGGACCAAGTTTGTAGTCAAAGTATGGGCAGGCCATAGTCAATGTAAAGCATATTATTGACGTTTAGTCACTATTAGTAAATGTGCCATATAACTTTTTATCCGCTGTTATCGGTGGCCCTGTTTACTAGCCTGCGCGTTCACGACAGGCTCCGCTGTGGAGGACGAGCTGTGGAGGGAGGGCTGTAGCGCAGCAGAGAGCAAGGGGGTGGGACCTGTAAGTTGTGCTTGTTCAAATTTTCAGGCTAAGTCAACGTTTTCTCAAAACTCCCTACTGCAGCTTTAAAGGTACAATATGTAATATTTTTGTAATAAAATATCCAAAAATCACTTGCACAGTGTGATATTTCCTGCAGTTGTGTACTTACAATATCCCAAAAGTTCCCAAAGTTTTTTAATTTAAGAGAAATTCCAAATTTAAATAATGGCTCGCCCATGTTCATGTTATTACCGTGTTCACATCTGTCAACCGTCATTCTGACTGTTCCGGTCCGGAGATATCCAACTTGGTGAAGAAAACTACACGGATACTTTTTTGTCATAGAGTGTCTAATAGAGTGACACTAACAGAGTGTCATGAACGTGTGCTATCCACAGAAGACCAACGGCCAAGGTCAGGATTTTTGTTAAATAATACATTATATTTTTGTTAATTTTTCACCAAACCCTATCGTGAACCCCAGAACACTTGGAATATATGACACATGTCGCATGGGATCATTCTGTGAGGCTTTTGCGTCTTTTTGATGCTTGTCGCTGTTCACTGCCATTACATGGACGAGCGCGAGTGGGACATTTGTAAAAACTCTCCTTATGTGGTCAGAAAAGAAAAGAGTGGGATACAACAGCAGGGTGAGTAAATGAAGACTTCATTTTAATTTTAGGGTGAACTATCCCTTTAAATTAGAAAACATTTCATATCAATTAAATGCCCTGTCCTTTCAATGTTTGTGAAATGTAATTTAAATATGAAATATAAAATATAATATATGCATTTTACAAGCTCACATCTGCATAAATCTATCATCACATCATGAAATAAAGATGTAATTTGGTATATGTTGCGGTGGCTCTAGCTGGACCTGAGATGTAGTGATACTCAAAAAAAAAAAAAAAGACATCTTACAAAGTGTTTCTCCAAAGTAGGAATGTTGTCGTTGACGTCAAGGATTTTGATGATGGCTGTCCCCATCCCTGTATTTCCATTTGAAGCTCCATCCATATCGGTTCCTTTAATGGTCAACGTGTATGTGTCTTTTTTCTGCGGTGAGAAAAGCACAAACTTCAGTCTCACGAGGAACACAAATATCAGCAATACAATACGGATTCATTTCAACAAACGTTGAATTCTGAAAACTTCATTTCAAAACCTTTAGTTAATATCTGTGGTAAAGCGATCCAGAAAAGTAGAAGAAATCAATGTTCTGAATGTCAGTCGATGGGAAATTTTCAATTTCGAAAAAGTCTGAAGTTACCAACAGAATCAGTTTTAAATGAGTCTGTATGCTAAGCGTTTTAATCATTTAAACTCATGTTAGTGACTGTATACCTCTCTGTCGAGCGTGTTGTGCATGACGTGTATCCAACCAGTCTCTCGATTAATGTAGAACATGTCAGCGTGACTCTCTTGAACGATGCTGTAGGAAATCTTCGAATTCAGACTTCCTTCTTCATCTGCGTCAGTTGCTGTGATTTTCATTACATACGTGTCTGAAAGATGACATACAAGGGTAAATATAGCACACCTTACATACAAATAAACTTGTGAAAAGAGTGTTCAAACAACCTGTACGAGCTCTTTTTTGAATATATAGTGGGAAATGTATTTTGTTTGTCTTTTACTTATTTTAATACTAGTTAAAGATCAAACAGGCCAGGATGGCACACCTCTGACCACTGTATGTGTCCTCGTGGTGCTATCAGCCAGTCAATGCCATCTTGGCCTATTTTCCTGCAGCTCCAAAGAGATTAGTCACATGGCATTTGCATCAAGACAGAACTGAGTGCGTATGAGCAGAGTTTCCATGCTGTCTTTGAGCTTTGAGATGAATGAGAGTGCTAAATGTTCCATGAAATTTGTAATTTGATGGGTTGGATTTTGGGTTTTTTAAAGACCCACTCCGATGAAAATAATGTTTTTCTAGGTGTTAACATGTTCTTGTGGCATTTTTCTGATGTTAGAGGACATATCTTGAGAAAAATAAGCTCAAAGTTGTATTTCTGAGTATTTCTACATTCAAATGGCTGTGAATCAGTAGCAGACGCTAAAATGCCGGCTAAAATAGACTGGAGTTGTGACGTAGTAACTCCACTGGGTGTCTCCACACGCGACGTCTTGGAGTGAAATAATGATCGGTGATCGTTGATAACTTTGATTAACTTCGGATAGTAATAATTAACGTGTATATAATACTGTTGCCCCACCGGTATTGGGGGTGTAAGCTAGCGGGAGAGACAGAGCTCTCAGCAACGGGCAGGGGGAGGGGCGTCTCCGTGCCAACGGCTCCGCCCACAACGCAGAGGCGAATTGCTAATGAGCTACTGCCGCTCTGATGAAGCGAAGTCCCAGAAAACGGCACAGGTTTTGTGATTTTGGCTAAAAAGGGCATAATCATAATTTAAAGACCACTGGGAATGTTTAAAAATAGCTCAAAATATGATCGGAGTGGGACTTTAACTAACAGAACACAGAGAGGAACAGAGGAGTTCCAGGGTCTCCTTAAGGATGTGTACTGTCCCCACTTTTATTTATTTTATATACAAATATGTGTCAAAGCATGTATGAGAACAGAATTATCATAAAATATGCGGATGACTCAGTTATTCTGAGTTTACTTAAGGAGAATGAGACCTCACATGGCCCAATTATTGAGGATTTTACCAACTGGTATGAGGAATCTTATTTACAGTTTAATATAGGAAAGACCAAGGATATGCTCATTGATTTTAGGAAGAGTACTCATCCAAGTGAACCTACCTCAATTAAAAGGCCAAAAAATAGAGTATGTACTATCATATAAATACCTTGGGACTATTATTGATGAGAAACTGAATTATGAAGAGAATGGTAAGGCTCTGTTGGCACCAGCGTTTGTATTGCCTAAGGAAATTATCTGTGTTTAATCTTGACCGAACAATAATGAAGATGTTTTATCATGCTTTTGTTGAATCTGTGTTGTCCTTTGCCACTGTAGTATGGTATGGTCATATATCTTTAAAGGCAAAACGTCAATTAGACCAGATAGTAAAATGGTCTGGCCGTTTGATAGGCGAGTGAAAACCAGGAGTGGCATCCCTAAAAACCAAACGTTACAAAGGATGGCCTTTTCAATTTTAAATGATGACTCTCACCCCCTGCACAGTGAGTTTCAGTTATTGCCATCTGCGAGGAGGTATAAAGTCCCAAGGTGTAGAACGAAAGGATATAGGGCCCTTTCACACCTACCTTGTTTGGTCCGGACTTTCGGACTTTTCAGTTTGGTCCGAATCAAAATTACAGGTGTGAAACCTCCCCTGGACCACGGTCTGAACCAAACAGATGAAATTTGGTCCGACGAAAAGAGGTAGTCTCGGTCCGGATCAAAGTAGGTTTGGTTCGTTTCTGGTGTGAAAGCATTTCTATATGGTTCGGACTTTCAGACCTTTTACAGGAAGATCTGGTGGTTCCCGCATAGCCGAAAAAACAGAAGGTGGCAGGAGAAATGAGCCGTGTAGCACATGAGGAGAGGAGGAGACGAGGTTTTTAGTTGAAGTATGGTCTGATGACATAAGAAGAAGTCAACTTGCAGTCTTCTCCTCCTTTCCTGCCGGCGACGATAAAATGTTCGCACGACGAGGACGTTCATTTGGCGAATTTGAACTAGCCTTGTGTATAGTTGGTGCTGCAGGTAATTACGCCATAAAAATAACAATATAGTTGTGACGATATGCGTCTGTTCGTTCATGTTGTCAAAGTTACCCGCCGAATTGACAACACGCTGACGTCACACACACGTCCATTTACAAACCAATCAATGTCAGGATGCAGCCCACACAGATGATGACGACAGGACGCACGTAAGTCCTTTAGTGCGCTCGCATAATTGCAGTGTGAAACCAAACCAAAACTTTCTGAAAGTATAAAATGTATCAAAATGGGAACTTTGGTTCGGACCTTGGTGCGGACTTTCAGGTGTGAAAACTATGGAGATATTTTTGGTGCAAAACTACTGAAAGCCTGTGACAGTAAAATGTGTAGTTGTAGAGAATAGCCACATGTGTATCAGTAAATTGGAAGTCAGAGAGAAATGTTTTAAGAGTTGCAAAGTTGTAGACTTTTTTTTATCTTCCACAAACACAACACAACAGTTACACCTCCTCAAATTCTCCATTGCAGGTGCACAAATCCTATTCTACAAATCACAAATTAAGAAACTCGTACGCTCACATTTGTGCTACAGTTGCTGCAGTAAATATGGTGCAAAACGCATTTACACACCCGCATCAAGAAATGTGAAGTCACGGAGAAATTTTGCTCATCTGCAAATCAGTATGTGAATTCATCCAATGAGAGTTGCACACTTTTGCACCAAGTGCACCGTGAAATGTGGTGCAAACGTGAGTTGTGCATCTGTAGAGGCAGTGGGCGGAGCCTACATGAATATTCATGAGTTTCCCGGCATGCGGATTAACAAATGGTTTTTCGGAAATGTTGTACTAGGGGTTTTATGATTTTACAAAGACAATGGGCCCTATTTTAACGATCTGAAACGCAAGTATCAAGCGCGAAGCGCAAGTAACTTTGTGGGCGGGTCTTGGGTGCTGTTGCTATTTTCCCGGCGGGATAAATGACACTTGCGCCCGACGCAAGTTTAAAAGGGGTTGGTCTGAAGTCGCTTCATTATTCATAGGTGTGGTTTGGGCGTAACGTGAAATAAACCAATCAGAGCGTCATCCAACATACCCTTTAAGAGCAGGCATTGCATGGCGGATTGTTATTATTATGGCGGATTTACCAGGCGCGCGCCAGGATTTACCAGGAGCGGTTCACAGCCGAGGAGACCGACGTTCTTGTCAGGACTGTGAAAGACAGAGAAGTGACGTTGTATGGGGATGGGAGGTTTTTTTTTTCTGGTTCTTGACGGACAAACTAATTTGTCAGATGTCCTTATATACATATGTGTCTTGCCACTATTGGGCAAACAGGTCTGATCCGTCATTACTACAATTAACCTGAAAAATTTGGGTAAATGTGTAAGCTAGATTTAGGCCTACATTTTTTTACATCTTCATGGACACCACAATGATTTCCCTCGTGTGGTAATATTTTTCCTTGTTATAATGTATGATTTGCAAAAATAAAAACTGCTGCATCTGTGTTGATGAGAGAATCAAAGTGTGTGCGCGTTGTGCACCCGCTACATTATGGCCAAGCATGCGCGCTTAAAATAGCATTATGAACAACGCGCAACGCGCCACTGACTTTAGACTAGGCTTTTTCTGGTCAGTGGCGCAATTGTTTTCTGGAACTGCAAAATAGCTCTAGGGAATGTTTGCGCCGAAACACGCCTCCTTTTTGCGTCGACCCGCCCAGGGAGCGCAAGTTCATTCCCTAGTTTACCAACGTGCGTCTGTGGAGGGAAAAGCCCGCTTTGCGCGGGTGCAAAATAGGAATGATACATGCGTCAGTGTACAAAGTCATTTGTGCCGGGTGCAAGATAGGGCCCCATATGTAATGTTTTGAGAGCACTTTCTTGAAAGCACTTTACGAAGTATGAGTATTTATTTTCTTGTTTTTATGTGTTTGTGGAGTTTTCTTTGTTTTTGTACTGGATGCCATAGAATGTCATTGCACTGTAAAACAAATTTACCTACGGGTACAATAAAAGTAACCTAACCTAACCTAATGAATTCAAGGAAAATAGGAAAAGACACGACAATGCTGGTGCACGAGAACTCGTACAGCCTCATGCCCTTCACTGGGCAGTATCCTGAATACATCCTGGGTCTTATTCACAAGGAAAGAAGGAGGCTGGAACCGGCGAATGGTAAACATAACTTTAATAATAAAATAAATATAAACAACATGAAAGTAAAAGCAAAGAGCCTGTGTTTCGCGTGTGTTCGGCCAGTCAGCGTACAGTTCCTATAGTGCTGGTTTAGACCCGACTCTGAAGGAGGAGCTTATTTATCCTAGAACTAAAATCGTTCCCAGTTCCTGTGGTGCGAATACGCCAAAAAGCATGTGCTTCTGCCATTATATCTAGGAACTAAGAAAAGGTTCCTCCGGTGCGAAAGCAGTAGTCAACATTTGAAGTGATTTTTGATTACTTCAAAAAGTTATACATTCATTTATATTTCACAAAGTTTTTTAACAATACCAGTTCTTGTCTTAGGACAACTTTGATGAACTTTTTTGATCCACTTCAGTGTTTCCTGTAGGATTTTTTCCAGCCGTGGTGGCAGGCCCATTTCGCCAGGGGGAGGGGGCGTGGCCCATGAGTGATATTGACCACGCCCCCTTATCCCAGGTGTTTAAACCTCCCCTAAGCATTATAACATGAAAGGCTCCAATAAGAGCGGCAAAGCAATTATGCGCATCCCGTGTGCAGAGTGATGCACTTGAAGCAACGCAAAGTCACAGCGTGCAGCGCTTCGCATTGAAAAGTTCAAAGCACAAAGCAAAGAGATTATATCTATCTATGCTTAATGTATTATATCTATGCAACAGT